ACAAGCTATAAATAATATTCCATATGTAAACATAATGGCAGTAGCAAATTCTTTTTATTTAAAAATTAATATTGATGTTCATTAATATAAATTACCACATTTCAGATGACTCTGATGTCCTTGAGGCCAGATGTCACTGACTGATTTACAGTTTCCTGGGGGGAGGAGTAGATCCTGTTTTGTCAATGTAGGCACCAAATTGCTTCAGATAGCTATTTTGGACTACATTAATTACTGATGTATTGTCAACAAAGTTGATTCACATCTCAGCTCAGAAACATGGAAAAGTATCTTTAAAACATATTCACGTGAATTCTGAAATGCAGGAAAAAGAGCTTAAAGTATACCTTTGACTTACTGAACTCTTGTCTCATTTAAGGGATAGTGGTTTGAAAACTCCTGCCCAGGAACATGCACACAGAGTTTCCATGTGCATCATTAGCAACTGGGGAACATACTTCAGAGGCCAAGTTTAGTCCCTCATTGATCTTAATTCTACTTTAAATATTCTTACAAACGTGTACAGTGCAGGAGTTCAAAAGGAAGCTCTGCCATCTTAGTCACACTGCACAGATCATGCATCTGGATTAAGTTTTTGAGCGCTTCATAATATCCTTTGGTCCTTTGGACCTTGTCTATAGCACTGCTGCAAAATAGGGTGGCAAATGTATTTGTAGAGCTATCAGTAGCCTCCCAAAAACCTCCTCACCTGTGAGAACGCTGGTGGGTGACGCCTCAGCAGGCAAGCAGGGTGGATTTGTTGTGTTTGCATAAGCTGGCAGGTTAAAGAGGGGAGAAAAACAAAGGCAGGCTGGTTTGAGTTGGTGTGAGACAGCACATCTCTGTCCATTAGTTATTCATTCAAATTCAACCACATGAAATACAAGCAGCTAACAAACCATATCTTGTAAATGTCTTTTATTCCAGCAGCTGAAATTCAGCACATTTGTAGGTGTGCAGCTGGGAATGCTTAGCATGAATGGCAAAATAATGTAAATCCTGTATTAAATATTTTGGTTCATAGGAAATCTCACATATGATCATATGTAAGAGAGAAGTCTGTGCAGGTCTCTGGTAGCATAAGGTCCTATGGCATACAATTAAAAACTACACAGATGATAGGACTATAGAGAATAACACACAAAGAACACCCTTTTTAAATGCATCTATCATTTATATAAAATCAAATCCATATCCATTGAAAGGCCTTTGAAAGGCTTTGAAAAATGTTACAAGGCTTTAGAAATGGTCCATGCTGATTTTTTTCCAATCCTTATAAATAATTATTTTCCTATGTTTGGTAAGATTAGCTACAGAGAATTTATGTTAAGACTCTGTGGAGAGGAGTACAGAATTTCAGTTAATATTAAGCTGAAAAGGTGGGTTTAAAATATGATACAAAAGCCTTGTATCAAAGAGGGAAATACACCACCCCCTCAGTCTCTTTTCTCATTTGTGAAATAGCTAAGCATAAACTATAAATTCTGATTTTCAGCAAGTATGTTAGTAAATCCAAACTGACCTTGACCTTAGCTTTGCTAATTTCCAAACTCTGATATTTATTCCCCGAGTAGATTGTTTGCCTTCATACCACATACATAAATACTGCAAACCTTTCCAATGACTTGAATTAGAGTGTAAGTAAATAGCTGGTTTTAATCTACATAATATTTTGAGAGCAGACGTTCTGTGCTATGACTATTAAGATATACCCAGCAGCCATTTGTATAATACTAAAACCTCTTACATATATTATTAAAAGTAATGCTATCAGCCAGGGCTTGTTTTATGCCACAGAAACTTAAATAATAAAATACAGTGTGGATAAAATCTGCAATAATAGTAACTTAAGCAAAATTAATTTAAGTAACAGATAACATCTGGGGGAAAATGTAATGGTATATTGGTAAGTTATGCAAAGCTAATTTTATAATAACTACCACATCTGTGGAACTCATTTATTAGAATGTTTTACCAATCTTCTTTCCTGCCATTATTCTGTTTTAGAAATTTTCCTGCATACTGTTTTATTGTCTTTGCTCTGCCTACATTTGTAAAAAGGTAATTTGCTAGCTCTCAACAACAAGAAAAGTATGTGGGTTTATGTACAGAACAACATGACACTTCTTATATTTTACCTCTCTTTATGCAAACTTTCACTATAAAGAATTTCAGAGAAAAATTGTGTCATGGGATTGTACATGGCGAGCACTATCTGAACACCAGCTACACTCTGTGGCTACACCTGGGCTTGATGCAACGAGGATGGGAAAGTAAAGGTGATGCTGAATGATGTTTCCCACATTAACCTCTACTAAATCTTAAAGCAACATTTAGCCTGCTCTAGCTTGTCCGGATTCAAGTGGGTTTTTGGCACCACACCACACCTTGGAATTAGTAAGAATATTGCATTTAATTTCTGCTTCCTCCAGTCCCTGTTGGAGCATCCTTTTATCTGTAGCTGACACTGATATGCCCTCTACATTTGTGCAACTGCTTTACGATTGCTTTATTTTTGAATTCTCACTCACCCATCAGACTGCAATGTGCAGACAAATATTGCCAATTAATTTTAAGGCATTATCATCTTGCCAAACTGTTTCTCACATTTCGATAGTTATATTGATTCAAGAGGACACTTTGAGTAATACATCTTTGTCATAGTGAATAATGCTCACATAATGACAAATCTTCAGGAATTAAAAAAGGAGGATGAATTTTTTAATGTAGGTCAGTGGAAGTAATTCACCGTAAATTTACTCAGACTTCAGAAATTAGCAACCTTTTTTAAAGCTAACTGTAACTGTATAAAACTTACTGTGTCTCCTCCTCTGTTTTTAAATAGATTTTACTACAGAGCCATTGGTGCTATTAAACATGAGGTTTTGTTCAAAGGAAATACAAAGACTTAATTGTATTTTTTAAAGGAAAGTATTGCATCAGAAGGATTCGTTTAAATATGTTTGTTGGCTTCGGGCTCTCACCACAATTCATTCGTTCTAATTTTCCCCTGGACTTGTTAAGGACACAATGTATAGGAAGGAGCAATGCAGAATGGCATTTTTAGGTCACTATATTTTGGCTGTAAACTGTAATACTGCTATAAACTTATTATTACTAAACAAAATACTTCATATTCTACGTTGAAGTTTCACAGTCTTTTAAAAAACTTTTGGCTAAATGTTGAGACTATTATGGCTCATTAAAGAGACTAGTTCTGCTGTAATTTAGTTATTTCTTAATGATCCAAGGGTTATTATTAGACACGGAACAGATGAGTAGAGAATGGCTCTCTTTAAAAGGACGCAGTGAAGTAAAAATATTACTCTGAAACAGAACCTCTGAAAATCTTATCCATGCTACAAAAAGGTAATTGATCAGCCAGGAATTGATTTTAAAACCCGGTCTAGTTTTTTACATTATTTCATTTTTCTACAATTTGGACTGGAGGGAATAAACAGAATAATGATTTAATCTAGACAAAGAAAACATTTTGAGTCAATAGTTAACTGACTAACCAAAAAATGTTATTTTAGGGAAGCAGAAAGTAATTGTGAATTCTCATCCAACTCAGCTAATACTTTTTAATAAGAAAATATAAGGTGAGAAATCAGAGAAAATGGAAATATTTCTTAAATCAAAATAGCTGTAGTTTAAAAAAAAGTAAATTTGAAAACAAAGCTTTTTATTTTAGAAAGTATAACATTTAGCTCAACAAAAGGGTTTTTCATTTTGATGCAAAAACTAAACTTTCTGACTATCTTGAAGCTAATTACAATGTCCAAACATAACTTCTGATAAGCATTTAGAACTACAAAAGAGATTTTTAATGCAATAAACTACAATGGCTAAGTGTCACTGTTTATTTTCAATTTTTGCTATTGCTTTTGCAAATGTACAGAACCTTTAATATCTTCAGCATGTTTAATGGTAGCGAGTAACTGCATAAACCAAATATCCACCTCACTATGATTTCAAAGGTATGAGGAAATTAATTTATGGGAGCTGCAATTACCCTGATGTGAATTAATGTAGTTGACTTACACCGTCCAAGCAAAATCCCGTTTGTAATAGCTGACTCAGAACTGGAACATCTGCCTGGTATTCTCAGTGGGCTCTTCCCATCGTAGAGGCCCCAAACATAGCATTTTAGTATTAACCTGTTCCTTGTTCCTTCAAAAATGCCTTTTGTCACCCTATTTGGCATGTATGTTCTGTCAGCCATGTTTTAAAAAAAGAACACAGACCCTTGTCTCTTTAGAGGATGCAGGGCCGCCTTCTGCATCACTCGTGAGAAGCTGAGGAAGGACTAAGTGCTGCATCCAGCTACTGCGGGGAGGAGGGGGGGAACCATTTCCTTGACAGAGCATTCCTGGAGCCACAGTTCACACGCCAGAAGAATACCAGTGAGGTTCCCGTGCTCACAGGAAAGAGAAACGGGAGCAAGTTGATGAAGCAGCAAAACTTGGACCTCTATCAATTCTTAAATTATAATCACATCTTAAAATTTTTTTTCAAGGCCTTATTTGTTGCATTGTCACTACAACTTTGCTCCAGCCAACTCCGTTGAAAGAATACCCTGGTGGTCAGCTGGGCCCTTTAATACCAAAATGCAATAAGATCCCTGTTCAGAAGTGACAAATTTGCATTGGGGAAACTGCATGTTACCCAAGATCTGTGTTTTCTAAACTTAATTATCCACATGAGTAAGAAGCTGTAGTGTTATGAAATTATGAAAATCATCTGTTCTTTCCAAGTATTATAAAGAGGGCCCCTGGAGATGCAGCTAGAAATTAAAGCTGATCTATAATCATTTTCAGTATGTTTTCCCATTCTGAGCACCTGGGTAGTAACAGAAAAGGTATTGTTTTTTGTTGTTTGCCAGCCATTTCATTTCCATTTAAAAAAATCTGTAATAAACCTCTGAGCAATAATTAAACCTGAATTACTTTTTTTTTTTCTTTTCTTTTCTTTTCTTTTTTTTTTTTTAATACTGCCAGTATGTGGTTGAACTTCCCCAACCTTCAGTTCCCCCTTTCCCTCCTCTGCTGGAAGATGGCATACCTTCAGATATCTATTCATCGTTCATAATATCACCAACAGCTACAGAGACAGAATCTAAGGTATAGAATTTTCTTCCTTTTTTTAAAAGCTATTTTTCTACTGCCAGTATGTGGTTGAACTTCCCCAACCTTCAGTTCCCCCTTTCCCTCCTCTGCTGGAAGATGGCATACCTTCAGATATCTATTCATCGTTCATAATATCACCAACAGCTACAGAGACAGAATCTAAGGTATAGAATTTTCTTCCTTTTTTTAAAAGCTATTTTTCTATGAGTCTCCTACGTCATTTATCCCCATTGGAGCCCAGTCACTAATGATATTTATTCCTCAGAATATAGCATTCTCCTCCAAGATTGAATGAAGTCGCTTGTAATGCATTAATCACTCAATAGAGGACATTTGAGTCAGCCCCTCTGGACTCTCTCCTCATGCAGCTTCATAACCTCAGGATCTGCCTGGCCTGGGCAGTGAAAGAGAGACACTGACGGTCTCTGTCAGAGCAGGAGTTCTCAAAAGCAGGCTTTATGTACTGATGCATATCTTTGGGCTGACCCTGTTTGGTCTTGTAGAAAGCAGGAGGATGTTCTCACTCACATATTTCCTTTGGTTGGTTGCTGTTAGGGGTCTGATCAAGAAGATTACCTTGAAGAGCCTTGTCCAGAAGTAGAGTCCTTCAAGGCAGGTGCTGTGGCTGGTGTCGCTGCTGAAGATCAGAAGTCCGCAGTGGGTGAAATCCCAAGTGAAATTATTGGCAACCTTGAGGTACTATTACTAGAATGTTATTCACTAATTCTGTCTATGGTTAATTAGCTAGCTCAGCCTTAGTGAACATAAACTGTATTTCATGTTAAAGCTGGCGAAAAGCACATCCATATGCTGTAAAAATGTGAATTAGCCTCTATAAATAACTCCTACTTTAGTCAGCTTACATGTGATAAGATAAAAAATATTCAGTAATATAACAACATATATATTCAGCATTACTATGTGTTAAGAAACATGGGCCAAATCCTGCTCTCAGTGATGTCAGTGATAAAATTCCTTTTTGGGGCTTCAGGATCAGCTGCTGTGATGGAGTACATGCAATGTTTGCTTAATAGAAGGTGTTAGATGCATCTATGTTACACATCCTTCAGTCTGTGTAAGAAATAACACATTTATGCCAATTCTGCACTTCATTCAGTAGGTGTATAACTGTACAAGAGCTGCCCTAATGGAACAGATCACGTTTCAGTATGTGGTCTGCAGACTCTGAGGAGTCCATGAGTTCTTTCTACAGGATTCGTGAAAGGGAAGGAAGCCATTGTCAGTGGACTTAAGTTTGTTGTAGGGTGATGTGCTTCTCTACAGGGAGGTCTATAAATTGAAACATGTGGGAAGCCAGCAGAGTAGATCATTGTTATTTTGTAAACTGCTCCCTCAAACATATGGAACTGGTGGAATTTGGTGCTCTTTGCAACAACCCGGTGGCATTAGGCACTTTAAACTTTTGATGCATCACATTGGACACTGTTGACCAAGCCACAGTTTATTAAATATCTAATATGGTCTGAAAATATTGTGATATTCATAGAATCATGGAATGGTTTGGGTTGGAAGGGACCTTAAAGATCACCTAGTTCAATCCCCCTGGCCATGGGCAGGGACACCTCCCACTAGACCACGTTGCTCAAAGCCCCATCCAGCCTGGTCTTGAACACTTCCAGGGACGGAGCATCCAAAATTTCCCTGGGCAACCTGTTCCAGTGTCTCACCACCTTCTCAGTAAAGAATTTCTTCCTAATAGCTAACCTAAACCTCCCCTCTTTCAGTTTAAAACCATTACCCCTTGTCCTATCACTTCATTCCCTGATAAAGAGTCCCTCCCCATCTCTCCTGTAGGACCCTTCAGGTATGGGAAAGCTGCTACAAGGTCTCCCTGGAGCCTTCTCTTCTCCAGGCTGAACAACCTTAACTCTCCCAGCCTGTCTTCATAGGAGAGGTGCTCCAGCCTTTTTATCATCTTCATGGCCCTCCTCTGCAGCCGTTCCAACAGGTCCATGTCTTCCCTGTGCTGAGGACTCCAGAGCTGGACATGGTACTCCAGGTGGGGTCTCATGAGAGCAGAGCAGAGGGACAAAATCACCTCTCTCATCCTGCTGGCCACCCTTCTTTTGATGCAGCCCAGGATGCAGTTGGCTTTCTGGGCTGCCAGTGTGCATTGCTGGCTCATGTCGAGCTTCTCATCCATGAGCACTTTCAAGTCCCTCTCCTCAGGGCTGCTTTCAATCCATTCCCCGCCCAACCCGTATTTGTGTCTGGAATTGCCATCTCCCAGGTGCAGGACTTTGCACTTGGCCTGGTTGAACTTCATGAGTTCACATGGGCCCACCTCTCAAGCCTGTCCAGGTCCCTCTGGATGGCATCCCTTCCCTCCAAGGTGTCAATTGCGCCACACAGCTTGGTGTCATCGGCAAACTTGCTGAGGGTTCACTCAATCCTACTGTCCATGTCTCTGACAAAGATGTTGGACAGCACGGGTCCCAGTACTGACCCCTGAGGAACACCACTTGTCACTGGTTTCCACTTGGACATTGAGCTGTTGACCGCAACCCTTTGAGTGCAGCCATCCAGCCAGTTCCTGATCCACTGAGTGGTCCATCCATCAAATCCATGCCTTTCCAATTTTGAGACCAGGATGTCATGCGGGACAGTGTCAAATGCTTTGCATACATTCGGGTAAATGAAGTCTGTTGATCTCTGCTTATCTATTGTCAGGGATGACTTGCCTTTAGTGAAGCCATGTTGGCTGTCACCAATCACTTTCTTATTTTCCATATGCCTTAGCAGAGATTCCAGGAGGATCTGCTCCACAATATTGTCAGGCACTACAGCCTGTAGTTCCCTGGGTCTTCTTTTTTTCCCTTTTTGAAATTGGGGGTCATGTTTCCCTTTTCCAGTCAGTGGGAACTTCACCAGACTGCCATGACTTTTCAAATATAATGGAAAGTGGCTTAGCAACTTCATCCACCAGCTCCTTCAGGACCCGTAGATGGATTTCATCAGGTCCCATGGACTTATGTACCTTCAGGTTCCTCAGATGGTCTTGAACCTGATTTTCTCCTACAGTGGGCAGTTCCTCATTCTCATAGCCCCTGTTTTTGGCTTCTGCAACTTGGGCAGGGTGATTAGAGCCCTTGCTAGCGAAGACTGAGGAGAAAAAGTCATTCAGTACCACAGCCTTCTCCATGTCCTGGGTGACCAGATCTCCTATTTCCTTCCAGAGAGGGTCCACAACTTTCCTAGTCTTGCCTTTGTCTCTGACATACTTATAGAAGTTTTTTGTTGTCCTTGATGTCCCAGGCCAAATAATGTTGATAAATATTGATAAATTGTTTTACATGGATTATGTATGAATGGGGAATATAGATTGGAATAATGATGTCATCATTAGATCTACCTATTTGATTTCATATTCCATTTCATAATTTCTTTAGAAACAAGAGGGAACCTGGCCTATGTTGTCTTATTCGTGTCTCCACCTACATAAAAAATGGATGTGTGGTTTTCACACATTTGACCTTGATTTTATTATCAGTGCTAAGACCTTTTTTTTCTTTACAAGAACTGCACAGATTAGAAAAATGCCTTTTATTATTCTTCTTTTGCAACTCTGGTTATATGCACAGAAAAGAATTTCCTTTTAGTTTTAAAAGTTCTCCACCAATATATCACCTGATTTCTCAATTTGTTGACTTCTGAGGTAATCTTATCATTAGATTTTTACCTGATACATGATCAAGCTCATACCATTTTGTTGAGTGAAGTGTGATTTCACAATCTGTGTTACATCTACAGGGGACTTGAGACATCTCTTGCTCTAGTTGAGTCCATAAAATAACTTGGAGTCTGAAATCATAGTGCTGGCACTCAGTGGTCTCAGCAGTAGCCATAGTGAGTATTGTAGCAGCTGATTTTCACTGAAGGAGACAGAGGGATATAAAAACTGGAGAAGGGAAGGCAGCTGGGGTGGCTGGGAGAGGGTTAGCCTGGAGGATCAATGTTCCACAGCAAAGCGGCTAAGTACACATATAATGTAAAGGGATAGGGGTATATTTGCGGATACTTGAGGGTAGGTTGAAAATGGTGAAGGCTATCTCTACAGATACAAAGTTGGGATAGAAATTCCAACTTTTTGATGCTAATCTGAGCTATTGAGAACTTTGAAAACATTTTAGCTTGGTTAACCATTGATAGGTTGCAGTATAGCACTATTAGGGATTGCTAGGACTGGCAAGCCAAAAAAGTTCCTGAAATGGCAAGTTACTGCAAGCTTTTCTGGGCCAATTCTATTAGCCTTATCAAAATTATGTGAAGTCCATTAAGAATGTAAGTCTAAGTTTTGGATCAGTTTATGTGGAGTCTGTAAAGGACCTTTGAGCCCTTTCTAGTTGTCTGAACAAAACTTTGCAACTCTTGGAAAGACTGTCATTGTACTCCTTCCATTTCTCATGTGTTTTTTTCATCATGAATGCTGATATTGAGAAATAGACATAAATTCCCCATAACCCCCCAGTATTTGTGGCCTTTTTTCCAGTGATCCCACATTACCAAATATTAAGGAATTAATGATTGCTATGCCAATCACTGCAAAGGATTTCACTAAAATATGTCACAACCCTTGTACCTTCCCCACAAATGTTACTTTGCAAATGAAATTCTCAGTGCCTACAGCAGTCTGGATTTCCAGAATGAGATACACATTCATAATTGTGTTTGTAATTAAGAAAGACAAGCAACATCACAGAAATATGTTTTTTTATTGTTCATTTTCAGTAATGCTTTCTAATTTCAGCAGTGTTTCAATAAAATGTATTACACTAGAGAACAAACATCTGCAGCAAAGGAAAAACAGTGGCAACAACCAAATCCCAAAGCAATTTTTCTGATTTGGTGCTTATTGGTAAAGGCTGTCTGAGAATACAGGCAAATCAGCCTGTCTCCCAAGACAAGGTTACATGAGAAATGCCTGTCCCAGATCACTTCCTGTTCGTGGCAGTCATACCATACACCAGGATTGTGCACCGTAATACAATAAAGTGTTATCACCTAAATACAGGCTGAAACACCGTTATGTCTGCAAAACAGGAAGGTGTGTAGGATAATGTCTGTCTTACTGCACTACGGTGTGTCAAAACCACAAAGACAATGTGCAGCCTGAGATAGCTCCATCATAACCACTCTTTGCTTCTGATTTTCTTTACAGGCAGAGATAAATGAAAAGCTGCAAATGCAAGAAGAAGCTTATACTTTGAGAACGGAAAAATTAGAAAGTCTTAAATAGCCAGATAAGAAAGGTGATGTTGAATTTTACAGAAATTGGACAGTAGGGGATGGCGTGCACAGAAGACTGGCTCCCTGCCTGAACGTAATTATTTTTGTATAAAGGAAAATGGTTCTGTTAACATTTACCTAGAAATAGTTCATCCCAGTTCCTCAAATTTACTGTGTTCTGCCAGTGTTGTCATTTAGTTTAGACTTAAGTAGAAGATTATAAACAGAAGGATATGTAATTAAAACATGTTGAAGTTCAGTTTATTTCTGAATAGAAATCCTAATTTAAAAAAAAAAAAAAAAAGCAAGCTGTAGTTTCATTCTCTTCTGTTTTTCCAGTTGTGAAATAGTTAACAGATTCTACTTTACACTCATGGTTTTTTTCAGGTAATTTTGCCAGGAGAGTTCATAGAGAGAAAACATCGTTTTGCGGCACTGCAGATATATTAAAGACAGAATTTAATTAACATGTAATTACACACTTTTCACTGCAGTTATTCTTTAATCATAAGTATGTTATTTCATTTTAAATTGCTTCTTAAGCTTTAAAACAAATTTCATATCTTATGCTTCTTTATTTCCACCATATTAAAATTGCTTAAAAGAAGAGTTTGCATGTTTACAATATTCTCGAGTAGAGTTCCTCTCGAATTCAGTGGAAATTTTTCTGGAATGCATGTAACCTTTCATCTGAGAATGTTTCCATATTTTGTCAGACGTTATAGAAATATTTCAAAGTCAAAAGGAATCTGACCAAATAAATGACCTCAGAAGAACTGGTTTAACATCTATGTTTCAAAATCATAGCCTGTGCTAATTTTTGTGTTACAGAACTCTGTGCCCTAGAAAGCAAGAAAGCATGTTGAATGCAAGTCATGCTTTCAAGCGTAAAGGCTGGATTGGATTACATGTTTAGTGGAATATTTGAGAAATAGAATGTTTTATTCATTACGACTTCATATTTGTTTCCCATTAAGTAAAGAGTTAGTTTTTGTTTCATTTCATCCCCATTTTTTATGGTGATAATGAAAAAAGTTTGCAAGCCTGACTCAGCCCAGCCAAAAAAAAAAAAAAAAAAAAAAAAAAAAAAAAAAAAAAAATAGGCAAACTTTATTCTTTTGTTTGTTTAAAAAAAAAAAAAAAAAAGGAAAAAAAGAAAAGAATCGCTTGAAACGTTTTTTTCCTTCCAAGCCCTTGTTCGGCGGCGGCGGGCGGCGCCGGGAGCGGCCAGGAGGGGGCACCGCCTGCCCTCTCCTCCAACCCAGGTTTGGAGTTTTAAGTGGGCAGAGTGTTTTTTGCTTGGTCTCAGGCATTGAGGAAAATCTCTTCCCCTGGTACGTGATCAGGAGCGGTAAGCTCTGCAACAATTCACTTCCACGTTTTTCTTCCTTGCTCTTTCTAGCGCTGGCCAGCAAATTAGTGAGAGCTTCCTTTCAGCTATTAAAAGCTAACCGTTCTGCTTTGAACACTGAAGGAATTAATGAAGAATTACTAGTTTTGCCTCTAAAACAATCTTTTAAAAATATTTTAATCTTTTGAAATTGTTAAGAGTCCTGGTTATGTTCTTTCTTGTTTTGTTACTTTGAAATATGGTATATTTTTTTTGTTATCAAAACTTTTTGAAATCAAAATGTCCTTTATTTTGATACATAAATTCATCTCCCAACACGTTGTACTAATGTCACAAGTTTCCCTAGTTTTGAACTCAAAGGTGAGAACAGAGCTTCTGAAGAGAGCTGTCCGTATGAAAAAAGAGTCTTTTAAATACTTTTTAGTGAAAATGTGTTATTGACAATTTAGCATTGTTTAGCACTTCAGACTTAAATCTGAAGACTACGACATTCCTGCTATAGCACTAAGCAGAAAGGGACTAACTATGATTTATGTTAAGACCAATGCTAAACAAAGGCTTTTGCTCGTATCTCTTCCTCCCTCTCCCAGATTTTGTAGAACCTCTGGGAAATTTTAAAGTGCTTTGAAGATGAGAAATTGTATATGAACATCAAGTATTACTGCAATGATTTGTTAGTATTCAGTCTTAGTACATATGCATAACAGCTGAGGTACTGCAGAAATTCAAAGTGAAGTTCAAATCCCACAAACCGTATTTGTAACTATCTTCCTGCTGAACTAAATAATACTACCAATAAAAATAGCCCCAGGGATTTTTTGGGAGTGGGGGGGAGCATGTTTAGGAGGCTGAAGGAGGGAAGATGAGTAAAAGGTAGACATAACATCTCTCTAAGCAGTCAGAGTGCGTGTTCTGACACAGCATATGAACATCAAATTGAAGAATCCTTTAATGTCTTCAGAATGTTAATATGAAATGCAAAACGTCATGCTTTGGATAGATGGGTAGGAACAAAATGTTCAGATGCAATATGGTGCATTAAGAACAGTCTCCATTCTGCATTCCTGGCTTTTCCATTGGTTTAAATCAGGCTTGCTGTTTCTCAGGTCTCTCGTGTCATGTTGAGTTACTGCTATAGTCATCTCTAAAAATAATTATACTGTCATTCCTGGGACCTACAGTAGAGGCTTTGCTATAACAATCTCTGGTTTTTTTATTTTTTTCTTTTTTGCAACACTGTTGATGTAACATAGTTCTTTACAATACACATACTTAATGTAGTTCCAAACAGGTTACCACCCTACAGAGCTTTCAATTTAAATCAGACAGATCTTGTAGAAAGGAAGAAAAGAGAGATTATGTTCTGCCTTGTCTGCCAGAGAAGTCGTGGTTTTCCAGGGGACAGAGGACTGATGAAACAGTTTTTCCTGTGTAAGTTATAATATTGATGCTTTTTAGCATCTTCTTGGTAAAATCCTGGTCTTTGCTAGGATTTTATAATAAGACAGTGAACAACTAGTAATTATCCTCTAGTAAAAGAAAAGCTCTATTTTCAGTCTGTGCTTTCCTGCATTATACTGACAGTGATGGAAGTTTAGAGAGATGGAAAGCAGCTTTAGTGAGAAGCTGGCTTGAAAAAGATGGGAAAGGGGGAAAAAAAGAGAAAACAGTTTTTTACCTGTTTCGTAGTGTTTTGCCATGACCTTTTCTTCTCAAGCCTTGCTTCTCCTCTTCTGCGCCAAAACTTGATTTGAATTTGAGAATTACCACATTGTTTCCTTCCTAAAATTGTAACTGGCATTCCTAGAAAATTTGCTTTCCCAGAAAAGCCACTATGCGTAGGCTTCAAATTCAGCTTTTCACAAGTAAGAAAAAGACATTTTCTTCAATAACCTACACTGCCAACTCGACCACAAAACGGTCTTAAGCTCATGATTCAATTGACCACCAAAACACGTTCATCCAGATGTACATACTGTACTTATCTGAAAAGCCTCCAGAGCGTAGGTTTGATCCTGGTCTCAACCAGAAGCGTGTAGAAGAGAGCTGCTCGGCAGAAAGGATGCTAACATGAGCTGTACCTCTCATCCACAGCTTGCACCTATTTATGGCAGAGTGTGAATGTGACAGGTGAATTTTAACATGAGTTATGCACAGAGCGAGGCTGGTGAATTCATAGCCGACACCTATAGATTTACTGCACACAGAGCAAGGCTGGTGAAGAATTCATAGCCGACACCTATAGATTTACTGGGGTGTGAAAGGGTTGTGTGTGCTCTTATTGGCACCAGCCAGTATGGCATGTCATCCAGCAGCGAGAGATACTGCAGGTAACTGGACAATTCACCTTCTTTCCTCTTCCTCCTACCTCATGTTAGGATGGTGTTGTATCTGCCCCTGCCGCAGTGTGCAACCACATCGTTCTGTACGCTGGCAGTCTGGGGAGCGGCTGTGTTCGGGGTGAAGTCACCTCCACCTCTCAGCCACAGTTCACAAGGAAGTGACGGCAGTGACAAAACACGGGTGGTGTTGCTTGCCATGAGCAACTCAAAACTGAATGTAACCTTTCAGCCCGTTTTGTTGTGGCACTTCAAGTGTGCAGAGCAAGCTGCAGGCTCCAGCAGTTGTGGATTCAGGTTACATGTATGTGACGAAAAAAAAAAGGAAAAAAAATTCAAAGGATAGATGCAGTGACTGATGTAATTGAGAGTCCCATTCAGATGCAGAGCATTAAACAGATCTTGGAATTAGTAATACAGCAAAAAGAATAGAATGTTAAATGTTTCCAGGGTAGAAGCAACCTGACTTTTTATGTAGTAGACTTAGTAACCTGCTGCTTTAAAGCTTGCCCTGTCACTGTCGCAACAAAGACTGCACTAAGTGTGAGGTTTATGTTCATGCACTCAGTGTTTGCCTAGGCCTAATGGTAGTTGTATGTATTTTGCATATTTATGCAGGTTACTCAAAGAACAAAAAAGGAAAAGGTGAGATGCTAGAGGCACCCCAGCCAGCTGGGGTAGGAGGAGCAAGAGGGGACACTATGGCCTGACAGGAGGAGATCATTTAGAGGCTTCAAGGAAGAATGGTCCATAAAAGTTATTCAGCTAAAAAAGTTCAGTCCTTCTCCGTTCCTGGAACAAGACTACTGGAGCTGTATAAGTTTGGGATGCTGATGTGGATGGTGATTCATGGCAGGAGCCACTGCAGGGTCTCTGAAGCACCTTCTGGATGAGCCAGTTCCTCCAGTGACAGAAAAGAAGGCTTCAGGATTTTGCCTCCATCCACTGAGGTTAGTCTATGTGAATATTTCGAAGTTTTCATTTAGCTCTTTTTTAACTCTTTCTGTCGATGTCTCATACAACATTTTCTTAAAATTTGAATCTTCTTTTAAAATCCAGCTAACACAATTTTCTTGTCTAAACAGTCTGTTTTTATGATTGCGTTCATTATAGTGTATGAGGCGTCATGTCTGGATAGAGTAGGATCCAAGAGTCCCAGAGTCTGTCCTTTGGCACTGGCTATGGGAGATGCCTAGGGAAGAGTACAGGAACAAAGCATCCTGAGGGTGATCCACCTCGTGAAGGCATATCCTTCCATTGATCAGTGCTTTAGAAACTTGTGGAGCCAAACTATGCACCCAGACTCAACTGTGATTTGAAATCAAAGGACTGGATTCATGGATTCATCCATCCATGGATTTGTCTGGTCCTTTTTTGAACTCAGTTGTTGTACTGGCCACCTTATTATTCCATGACAATAAGTTACGTGCTTTAATTTTGTGTTGATTAACCCCAGCTGAAACAGATACAGGAGGCTCAAGATTGCTCATCTCAGAGGCTGTCAAGGTCCTCAATTTCACTGATCGCTTGTGTGTCTTGAGGTGCTGTCAGTGGTGGACCATGGAGATGTGGGGTGTGAAAGGGTTGTGTGTGCTCTTATTGGCACCAGCCAGTATGGCATGTCATCCAGCAGCGAGAGATACTGCAGGTAACTGGACAATTCACCTTCTTTCCTCTTCCTCCTACCTCATGTTAGGATGGTGTTGTATCTGCCCCTGCCGCAGTGTGCAACCACATCGTTCTGTACGCTGGCAGTCTGGGGAGCGGCTGTGTTCGGGGTGAAGTCACCTCCACCTCTCAGCCACAGTTCACAAGGAAGTGACGGCAGTGACAAAACACGGGTGGTGTTGCTTGCCATGAGCAACTCAAAACTGAATGTAACCTTTCAGCCCGTTTTGTTGTGGCACTTCAAGTGTGCAGAGCAAGCTGCAGGCTCCAGCAGTTGTGGATTCAGGTTACATGTATGTGACGAAAAAAAAAAGGAAAAAAAATTCAAAGGATAGATGCAGTGACTGATGTAATTGAGAGTCCCATTCAGATGCAGAGCATTAAACAGATCTTGGAATTAGTAATACAGCAAAAAGAATAGAATGTTAAATGTTTCCAGGGTAGAAGCAACCTGACTTTTTATGTAGTAGACTTAGTAACCTGCTGCTTTAAAGCTTGCCCTGTCACTGTCGCAACAAAGACTGCACTAAGTGTGAGGTTTATGTTCATGCACTCAGTGTTTGCCTAGGCCTAATGGTAGTTGTATGTATTTTGCATATTTATGCAGGTTACTCAAAGAACAAAAAAGGAAAAGGTGAGATGCTAGAGGCACCCCAGCCAGCTGGGGTAGGAGGAGCAAGAGGGGACACTATGGCCTGACAGGAGGAGATCATTTAGAGGCTTCAAGGAAGAATGGTCCATAAAAGTTATTCAGCTAAAAAAGTTCAGTCCTTCTCCGTTCCTGGAACAAGACTACTGGAGCTGTATAAGTTTGGGATGCTGATGTGGATGGTGATTCATGGCAGGAGCCACTGCAGGGTCTCTGAAGCACCTTCTGGATGAGCCAGTTCCTCCAGTGACAGAAAAGAAGGCTTCAGGATTTTGCCTCCATCCACTGAGGTTAGTCTATGTGAATATTTCGAAGTTTTCATTTAGCTCTTTTTTAACTCTTTCTGTCGATGTCTCATACAACATTTTCTTAAAATTTGAATCTTCTTTTAAAATCCAGCTAACACAATTTTCTTGTCTAAACAGTCTGTTTTTATGATTGCGTTCATTATAGTGTATGAGGCGTCATGTCTGGATAGAGTAGGATCCAAGAGTCCCAGAGTCTGTCCTTTGGCACTGGCTATGGGAGATGCCTAGGGAAGAGTACAGGAACAAAGCATCCTGAGGGTGATCCACCTCGTGAAGGCATATCCTTCCATTGATCAGTGCTTTAGAAACTTGTGGAGCCAAACTATGCACCCAGACTCAACTGTGATTTGAAATCAAAGGACTGGATTCATGGATTCATCCATCCATGGATTTGTCTGGTCCTTTTTTGAACTCAGTTGTTGTACTGGCCACCTTATTATTCCATGACAATAAGTTACGTGCTTTAATTTTGTGTTGATTAACCCCAGCTGAAACAGATACAGGAGGCTCAAGATTGCTCATCTCAGAGGCTGTCAAGGTCCTCAATTTCACTGATCGCTTGTGTGTCTTGAGGTGCTGTCAGTGGTGGACCATGGAGATGCTGACTTTTCATGTACACCAGGAGCAGATGAGATCCAGGTAAGAGAAAGCAGTGTCATTCTCTACAAGACAGCCGAAGATTCTACCACATGCCCTGTTACTTTTTCTCATTTCTTTTTGTGCCATATCTAACTTAGATTAAAATCTTCCTGAGCAGACATGCATGGGTCTATCTTTACTTGTGTGTCAAGGGACACACACATGGCCCTGCCTGAATAGAACGATACTGACAAAGGGAGGAAAAATGACCATCTTTGGTCTGTCAGGCAGACAGTGAATATTTTGTTATCCTAATCATCGGAGTAGCAAGTTTCTTTGGAGCATGTAAGTCATGAATTATCATGCAGCTCCGAGAGGAAAACTTTGCCCTTTGATTGTTTTCCAAAGAAATGTTCTCAATTTCTTTTCTGCCAAATTCATATTACAGATCATACTAACAAATTTTCCCAAGCCTTCTTGACCTCCTCCCTTCTTCACAGTAGTGAAAGAAATTTCACTCATCACTGAGAGATGTTGAAGATTGCTAAATTTTGCTGATTTAGGAACTGAGTGAATGAAATAAGCTTACAAAAATGTAGATACTGCATTGCAGAATGCCATTAGCTCCATTAATAAGAAAAATGGAACTTGTGATATTTCTGCTATTTCGCAGTATGTTAGTAAATTGCCTGCTAATGTGTTATTAGGTTGGGGGTCTGCAGAGCTCCCTCACGTCAAGGACAGCAGTGTGCGTACAGTGCTGGGGAGTGCAAATTTGGGGAAGATTGATTTTATTTAACTCCTCCCCCCGCCCCCACTCTTCTCTTCCTCCAGCAAATCTGTGCCTCGTTTTACCAAAGTAAGACAAGGTAACAGCGATGCTTACTGCATTACTTTGAATGATGTGTTTTATTTTGATTGGAGTTCGGAGTTCTCAACGTTTAGTGGCACCAGTTCCTCTGCTACTAAATCATTTGTAGACAGCTGAGTGAGCCTGCCAAGCCTCTAGCCTGAGTAAGGATTTTTGGGTTGTTTGTTTTCTGAATGAGCAAGGTGAGAGAAAGCCACCTCCACTGTACTTTCCTGCTACTCTCAATTACAGTCACATGTAATTGTCAGGACAATTTTGCCACTAACCAGTTTTTCACTGGAGTTTTCTTACAGGGTGGCTGTTGGGATAAAAGCAGGATTCAAATTTTGTGTTGGTTCTGCTCTGAGATCATTCCAGCCTTTTTTTGAAATGTCACATTTCAGCTTAACAAATTGCCAGTTCATGCAGCTCCGATGCCCCAGAAACCATTTCCAATGTTGTGCTATAAAAGCAGGACTGATACAGATCTCTTGACTGCATTTCAAAGACATACCTTTGGATTACAGGGTTGCAGGTGAGACTTGAATTCTGTGGAACTCAGTGGAGAAATGTTCATTTGCTAACAAAGGCTCTTGCTTTAATTTTTTTTTTTTCTACTCCAATTTTCTGTGAGTAATGTAGATATGGGGGCTGATCTATTGAAGCAGTCGAATCAATTATTCAATTGAATTCAATTACTATCAGTGCCAATATTTCTGTGAAATTATTATTGTGTAGGGCTACATGAAGGTATGTCTTTGTTATGTATGACAGCTTTTGATTCTGTCTCCCAAATATAAATGATGGGGCTGATTTTTAAGCCCTTAACCTCAGTCTTACTAACTCCCTACTCAGGGAAAATGCTCCTTGATCTCAATAGGTGTATTTACCTTGGCGTGGCTCAAACACAACAGAGGCGTTGCTCGGGCTGCTTGATGTTGTCAAGCTTGGACAGCAGCAGCAGGCTGTGATGAACCAGGTGGAGCTAGGCATGGACCAGCACTCGGGAAACAGGAGCCCCATCCTGAGTCCTCTGCTCCTGCCATTGCCCACATCCATCGCTTCCACACCATAGGAGGGGGTCTTGCATCCACTGGTGGCTTTCTCTGAGTAAATACAGAGCTTTAAGTGTGTGAGTCCATCAGGCTCAAAGCAGGAATTAGGATCTGTTTGTACATCTCTGCACTGTGCTCCTAACAGGTTAAATGTGAGTGTGTGTGTTACATTATTGAGAAACAGAGTGATTTAGATGGATGCACATTATTCCTCAGCTCTGTGTCAACAGTCAAAAATGAGCTTTTAGATTTATTAGTTCCCAATCTTGCACCTATCTTAAATCATTACCATATAATAAGGACTCTATATGGTGCATTGTCAATAAAACCTAATATTGAGAAGATTACGGATCGTCTACTGCAAATGGAGAGCACTGTAAGTGATTTAGAGAATACGTGTCAAACGTTAAAGCTATCTAATACCTTCTAAAGTAGGTTGATACTCATAAATCTAAGATAAACGACCTGTAAAACCACTTAACAAGAAATAATACTCATTTAATCAGGCTTCCAGTGGAAAGACTGGGTAGGAGAGAAATTCATAAGGAATTATGAAATCTCTTCTAATTCAGTACTTTGTTGATAGAGAATGTAAACCTACATTTGATAAGCAATTTTAGTTACCTAAAACTGTTGTTGTAACAGCACTAAATTATGACCTCACTGAAAAAAGAAAAGACCAAAGGGCATCTCTTTTATGGTTTATTGAGCTCTCGTTTTCCCAGATTCAGCACTGTGTGTATCAGATGGAGATATAAAAGGTATTTATTGGAATTACCATTTTGATGGATCATGGGGATGGGGTGTTGGATTGGCTTCTGTTGGTGTAGCTGTTCCTCTTCACTGACAATAGCAGGTTTGTTTAATGCACTCCCCTGGTAGGAGCAAGATATTGGGACAAGCCTGGTTAAAATTATAGTGAAACAAACTGCATGTTGTCATGTAGTTGAGTGGTAACTTTTACAAACTTAGTCTGTTGAGGTTAAGGGTATTTTCTGCACTTTGATCCTGAAGAAAATTCGGTTTCCTTTTCTACCTTTTTTTTTTCCCAGACCCATTTGATAGGTGGCTAAATGTGGGTGACAGAAAAATTAGGTCATGATTTTCATTACCAATGTTCTGATTCTTCAGTTCTTGTGCGGACAAAACTTCCATTCTCTTCAATAGGTTTTTAAGGCCACTTGTTAATTCCTGTTCATCCTTTTGGCTTTGTGACTGCTCGGAGCTCAGCCTCACTGCCAGCATTTATTAGAACTTGACGCAGATCTTTTCTTGAAGCAACTGTAATAGTATATTTAGCCATGGAGAAATCTTTCCGAAGAGCAGTGTGCTGTGACTCATGTGACTCCGCTGCTGCTCTGTTGACCCTAGCAGACTTACTCATCGTTTACATAGTGGCAAACGAGATCAGATTCTGGCTTGATGCCTTATTTCACTTGATCCAGGAAATGTGCAGCTTGCAAATGCATTTTACTTCAGTTAACATTTTTTAAGATAAACTGGGTATTCGACGTCTTTCCACTTTCTGTGAAAAATAAGGACGCCTAAATGCTGCTCTGAGTGGTATTAGTGAGTGAAATGCAAATGCATCTGATCCATATATAACTCATTTATACTGCAAAAATAACCAGGGTATGACATGGTTGTGGTCAAAGCGTTTTATCACCTGCTTTTTTCTTGCTTACCCTCACAGAGGGCAAAGCGTACATGCAAGCGTACGTACACTTGCTATGCAATGGCTGTAGTCACACCGAGTTGTAGCCAGGGATGTTTGGTTGTTTTTGTAAAGAGGCTGCAGCCTTAGTAGCAAATTTCCATTGGTTGGGAATTTTTGAGATATTGAAGTCTATCCAAAAAATAAGCTTGTTGATTTACTTTCTACTTTCTTTTCGGCTGGCATAAAGCTAGAGTCATTTTACTAAAATGCCAGTTAAACTGAGCATACATTAAAGGAAGATCATTTCAGAAATCTGTCAGCCTTGGGAACATTGCTTTTCTGTTTCCTGAGAATACCTAGGAGTAACTGGGTTTGCACTCAGAGGCAGAGCAGCTGTTATGTGTGTGTATTGTATGTGCATTGTGTGTGTGGTGTATTTATTATTAGTTAAAAAAATAAAAATCAGAGGCAACAGCTGGACTGACTTTTACCTGGTGGCTGGTGGTTGCAGGCTCTGTAGTGTCTGGCTGTTGACAGAGAGCAGGGAAAAACACATGATTGAGAATTGGAGAAGCCTCTGAGAACTGGAAGCTGAAGTCTTCAATCATGTAAAACGGCTTGTGAAGGGCAGAATTGCTTGGAGCTGATCAATTTTTATTTTGATGTCAGTGCTTTTTGAAATCTATGTTTGGGGTTGTTGTTTTTTAAAAAAAACCAAAAAACAACTAAGGGATCATGGAAAGAGAATGATGTTAGGTAGCTATTTATTAGTTATTTTATGCCAGTCAGGTAATAGTTATTTTATGGGTGTCAGGTAACTAGCTAACTAGTTACTTTATGATAGTTAATTTGTTGACAGGGCTGGGAGATACAGGTGGCTCAGACCAGTTGGAAAGGGGATTTGATTAGGTATCGATAATTTTCATTGTTGAAACATAGAGGGCAGCTAAACAAGCAGGCAGGACTGTGGGGTGCATCCTCCACTTCCATCAGGTGCAAAAACAGCATCGAGGGGGCCTTAGCAAGGCTTACCCCAGCTGAGGACCTGCCTCCTCCTCGTCCATACTACCTGTGGGAGAGAACCTCATTCCTCAATTATAAGCAGGCAGATCACACGTGCACACACACTCCTCAGCTATAATTAAATTAAAATCTCACTAATTTGGAAGCATACCTATCACGTTCTCTTCTAGGAAGAAACTATTATTTCTTCTTTTATTCTTTTCTGCTTGAATCCCAAGCTATCAATGGCTTTCAAAGAAAAAGGAGTTTTTCTTTAGAAAAAAGTCTATTCAAATTATTCATGATTTATATCAAGAAGGGACCTTTCCTCTTTCAACTAGCAAAAAAGGGGGAGTTTGATCTTCCTCAAAATCATTTGAGAACCTTGTGCGTTTCTTCCCAGAACTAAAACTTTCTTATAAAGCTTCGGATATTCAGCAGAATAATGACTATTACATAATTGAAGCTCGATACAATACCATGGGGCTAATAAATGGTCTCCTGGTTCTATAGAAAACGTAACAAATCATAATAGCACTTATTGGTACTAGGCCAGGCACAAATGACAAAGCTGCTTTTGAAAGCGAGTTGTGGCCAGAAATACTCTTGGACCAAAATCATTCTCTTGACTGTCAGGGGGACATTTGCTCCCTTTAATTTTCAGCTTAGATTTTATGTTGAACCTGCAACACTGAATAAAATTGAGCCCGACAGAGCTGCTACTGCAGCTGTTACAGATGTAAATGGGAAGAAGGCCATTTAAGACAACTCTGTTTCCCTGAATATGTTATTTGGAAAGTATGCAGATTATATTAAAAATGGCTCGATTTGTCCTTATGTGTGTTTTTTAAAGGAAGAAAAAGATGCTACACTATTAAGTGGTTTATTAACATTTATGAACACATCTCTTTTACTTAGAAAATAATTGTTCTATTGTGTGCTGTGAAGCTGCCTGTAAACAACCAGCAAAGGGGTATACTGCTTTGTATTTTCCATGGAGAAAATATCAAATTCAATTGATTAATCAAAGAGGACATTCTTTGATGGAAGGGAACCTTTTCAAACTTTATTAAAAATATTGAATAAACCATGAGCAATCAAAGTTCATAATCTGAACTCCTGCTCTACTTTCTCAGATACAGTAAACCTTCAAAATAACTCATAAAGCAGGAGATAAAATGTCTGTAATAAAAAAAAAAAACCAAAACAAACAAAAAAAACCCAACAAAACAAACCAACGCTCAGAGCAGTATATTCCAAAACCTCTATCTTGATCTGGATCTCTGCTGCACCATTGCGGCTCCACTGATTTTACTGGAGTCACCCTGTGTTTCCACTGGAGAGAATGATAATAAGAAACAAAACAAACCAACGCTCAGAGCAGTATATTCCAAAACCTCTATCTTGATCTGGATCTCTGCTGCACCATTGCGGCTCCACTGATTTTACTTTTTTGGTCCTGTGTTTCCACTGGAGAGAATGATAATAAGAATTGAGCCTTGGACCATTTTTTCAGTGACTAATTAAAAGCATCCTGGTACCCTGTGTCTTTTCATGGAGGGTTTTACCCTTATTCTGAGAGAATGAATGGAAGAAATGAGATTGCTATCAGCAAAGCTGCCTAGTGATTAAAGATAATCTAGGTATGACCTGCAGGCTGAATGACTGTCCCCTCTGTTCCAGGAGGAAAGCAATTGTATGGCCAAATTCAGGATGTCTGGTGGGAATGAAGACAAGTGAAATGAAAATTCCCAGAGCTGAGGAGAAAACAGAACTCAAACAGGTGGGACTAGAACTTGCTATCCTCTAGTCAGCACTGAAATCATTGGCCCTATGTGAAATATTATGTGTAAAGCCATCGTGCTGTTCAAGATCAAGTGGATGTTTGCAAATAAAATGCTCATATTTAGCAGTAGGGAAATTTTATTGGAAGGCTTCCAGGTATGTTGGGAGGAAAAAAACAATTGAAGGAAAGAATAATTGAAGGTATACAGGCAAAGAGTGAATGAGAGGAAGTGAACACAGGGATGCCATTTTTACTTAGGTGACAAGGTAGAGCATGCTCAGAATAGGAAGCATTGACACAGCACAGAGTGAGAGAAAGGTGTCCTCTGTGGCCACAGGGGCTCAAATGTACAGACTTCAGTGAGACCCCAGGCAAGCAGTTAACCTAGGTGGCTATCTAGGACAGCCACAAGAAGAAATGTGAGGATTTCATGGGCATCCTCTGTAATCTTTCCTTTTTTGCAGTGCCTTTCTATATTGTCCCCTCCCTGTCCATATTCCAAGCAGAGGTGGGAGGGCAGAGCTGATGGCTGTGCTTCGATCAACACACAGGCTTAACCACATGGGGGGATTTTCACAATTGCACCAGAGAGAGATGAGGGTGGGTAAGGGGCAGCTCACAGCCTGGGGTAACCTCTAGCTGGAAGGTGGGATGGAGAGCAGGGGAGGGGAGGACGTCTGATGGTACCCAGCAGAGGCTGTTAAAGACCTTTGCTCTGAAGGGTGCAGCTCATAATTTTTTTTAGAGTAGCACTCCTGACCCAATGGGGAAAAACCCCCCAAAAATAAAACCAGCCCCCCTCCCGCCCTGTGAGCTTTTGGGGCAAGTCTTTTGCCTGAAAGAAGTGTTGGGGATCTGTCAGCAAAGCCTCTGTCTCTGGCTGAGCCCTCCTTTGCTCTCAAGGTGAAGACTGTCCTTGGGAGCAGAGAGATTTGCAGTGAAGACCCTTGCCAGTCCCCAGGCAGGATAAATACAAAACCTCTAAAACTCTGAGTTGTTGTTTGGGTCAAGAGATCACACTATATAAAAAGCAGCCTTCCTACATGTCATCCCATCCTATGCAGTACTGCTGTTGAAAGGGCTTATCCGAAATACTCAATTCTGATAAGGCAACACATTAAAAAGAAAAAAAGACACTTTATTAAGAAAAGAAGCCCTTTCACAGAGTGACAGATGAATGTAGTGACAGATTAATATAAATTTTAAAACCTGAACATTATCCTCCAAGGGGAAAGAGCTGCTAAATACACATGCAAAACAAAAATGGCAGAGAAAAAACTCTGACAATGCATTGCACAGAATCATTTATTAGGACTCTGTAGGTGATCATTTACATGAAACTTGCATTTAATCTAGTATTCAACCATTCCCTTTTATCTTCTGGCTGCATGTGTTTGTGGGAAACAGTGGTCCCTCATCCTGTCACATCTCCTTTCCTATACCAAGCTGGGTTTTTTTTGCTGGAGTATTACGTGCAGGGGACATAGGGCAGAGAAGGGAATTTGAACATCTCAGGTTTAAACTCAGCTCTATTTGCAATTCTGGCTTAGACCAAAAGAGGAAAATGACCACCTCTGCTTTAGAGATGAGCAAGTTCTTTCAAAAACAAATAAAACCTCAATTGTCCTCTTGGCAATACAGCACTTTTGGGTCAAAGCACAGAGGAACAGTCTGTAAGCTATAATGTGGTCTAGGGTGCACAGAAATATTAGCTTCATTACACTCTGCAGATGTACTCTTTCTGGGATGTTAGCAATGGCATGTGGGCTAAGTACAGAAATTATTTACTTGTGCTGCTATTGCTGAAGCACCCAGGTGAAGTATTTCAAAACTAGCCCTGTGTATCTGCGTGTGTAACAGTCGGTGAAATCGTTGCACTGTGAACTCAGCTTAATGCCCTGGATTTCTGCTTAAAACTGTTGCACACCTGGGTTGAGATCTAAAGCCATCTCCTTGACCTGCTCCTAGGAGCACCTTGCTCAGAGAAGTCAGTGTGATGTGAAATTGTCTCCCCTCACACAAGAACGTGGCTTGTGGCTTCTCGAGGCCACGTTGACACCTCTTGACAAACATGGGTTGATGGAGCGGGTATAATATTCGCTTTGGAGATCTCTGAAAATCTGAGAGGTTCTTTCCTCATGCATCCCCTTGTGGTGCATGCCCAGCTGCCCTGCTAGTCTCCACCACTGATTTCAGTGAGTGACAACCAAAGGCATTTCAAACTGAGAGGAGGTATTTAAATACTGTCAGGAACAACAGATAAAATGACCTCAAACAATCCCATATAAAGTCCTTTGTTATTTTCAAGGCACTTTCCCAGCTTGACACCTTTGCTTTTTTATATCCAATATAAAATTCAAAATGTTTTATTCCAGTGCCGTGCATGAATATAAAATATAAATATATCAAACCTCACGCTACCTTCTTTGTGCTACTGCTTTGAAAAAGGACCTGAAGTAAACTCAGTATAAAAATCAAGAACATTATCAAGAAAATTCCAGTTCTCAAACTTTTGTTCACTGTTGTCTTGTATGTATTGAGAATAACTTTTCTCACGCAAACACGCTTACAGCAGTAAGGAGCAACCTGGGTGCGGATGGCTCTGTGGGCACCAGCTCAGGACTGTAGCACACTGAGGTATTTTGAGGTCCCACACAGACAGACTGGCTGTCCATTACCTCCCCTGAAACACAATCCTCTTGACACCGGTGCTGCTCCTGCCCATGCCCTCTGCTGCTTTCCTTTACACATCTTGTTGCCCTATGCCAGTTGTTGCCAACCTCTTGCCAAAGCCAGAGGTTGCTCTTACACAGCTGCTGAAGGGGCAGAGCCTGTTCCACTCACCTTTACATCCTCCCTAGGCTCTGTATTGCTCCCAGATGACCCTCAACATCACCTCTCCTCTGTCTTTATTACTACCGTTACCTATCTTACAGATGCTGCTGGAGAATGAACTTCCACAGTGCTGCTGTCCTCCTGTCTGGTGAACATGGCATCCTGCTGCTGCTCTTTTTTAACAATGTTTCTTCCGACCTGCTCAAGTATGCAGGTGAGTACAAGAAGCATCACGATGACCTTCATGCTGCACAGGGCTCAGCATAAGTTGGTCGGTCGGTCCTGGTGGTGAGGAGCACGGGAGAGAGCTGGAGTGAAAAAGCACTATCCCATCTCTCTAGAGCTGGCAAGCCCACCTGGCTTCCTGACACCCTTTCTCTGGGATGCAAAAGGTCAGTAGAAATGGTCTGTCGTAGTACTCTGCCCAACAGGTTGATATCTGATTTCTGCTTTCTTTTCTGCCAATTGCTGTGATTAAATGGTTTTGAAGTTACCTTGTAGTAACTGGGTACAGGTTTGGGGCCCATGCGTACACAGAAATTAAAGTAAATCAGTTCAGAGACATTTGGAACAGGCATACCTGGCAGCAAGCAGCAAAGCACATAGTTGGGTGAATTTGCATCTTATTTAGTATGTCAAAAAAAGTTTTAAGCTGTGACTTGGAGAAGTCAAGCCAGGAACAATAAGCTTGTCTGGAGAATTCTGGTATTAGAAACTAAAGGATACGGAGCCATGTCCAAGGTAAATATTGACGTGACTCAAGATGAACTAGTAAAACATTTAATGAAGCTGAAAATAAGGCATCTGGGATAAATGTTTATTGTTAAAAACGAAACATTCAAGCAAAAGTAGCATAGTGATGATGGAGGTTATTCATAGGGAAGCCAAGTTGGGGAAACAGCATCATCTGAAAGAAACTGACTCCAGCTATTTGTGAAACATGGAAAAAATTAGAATTATAACAGAGCTAAAAATGTAAGTGAATAGCAAACAGTCGTTATGGACATTCAGAGTGGATTTTGGAGACTGAATCATACCAAGGGACAAATTACTCCGGTGTCCAGAATAACTCTATTGACTTTGACGGATTTCTCTGTATTTGCCTTTGTGTAATTGAGAGTTTACTCCCTTACGCCGTATGAGGACTGAATGTTAAAAAACTTTGAGAAAAAATATTGACTTTCATTCATTCTAGTGTCATTCTCTCGATGATAGAGAATAAGTCACATTAACTTCACAAGGCATTTCAGGAACACATTAGGGCTTTTTTTTCCCTTTTGTGCAGCAGGAAAAAAAAATATCCTTGCACAATGCTGTGAAAATAATCAGAAAGGCTCCATTAAACCGGAAATGGGAATAAATTGTGCTGCTATATTATAAGTCTTACAAGTAAGTCTATGGTATTATCAGAATGCTCTGTTGTAAAATCCATTGAGCCAGGCTGTGGTGAGCCAACATTACATTCACACATTCACCACTGGTGGAGATACTGGGGAAGAGATGCCAAAAGTTGAAACTGTCTGTTTAGGAGTGCTTTATAAACCAGCTTTTTTCTACCTCGGAAATGCAACACTAATGCATAAGGACTGATTATTTACAAAAGGTACACTCGATCTGTCCCCACGTAGCATGCCTATGGTTGTAGTGGCATTGCTATGTTAGATAAACACACACATACATATATATCTCCATTCAATAAACTCCCTGGTGATTATGCACATGCAGCTGCAGTCCCCCGGATGGCTTTACAGTGCAATACAAGGGCGCTCATTCTCCCAGCCCCAAGGGAGAGGATAATCCATATGGCTGGCCACGTGGCAGAAGGAATAGAGGTGGAGCAAGAGGAGAAGCAGGGAGGGATGCTGAGAGAAGACAGCAGTTAGGAGACCCTGCCATGCTGGGGCAGCACATCCATCCTTGTTCCTTGACTGCTTCTAATGGATTAGGGTAAACAACAATTGTAGTGTTTGGCTCTGCTCCATCTCTCAAAACCTTTATCCTAGGAAGAGGCGAATGCTACAATCTCTTTCTCCTCCAAGCAATCTTTTGGAAAGCTGGGGTCCAAAATAACTTAAGACTTTAAAGCATAACCATCAGCTTCTTGGACTGGATTTAGAAAATCCACAGACAACCCATCCGCTTCCTTCATCTCCTATTTGTTAAGAAGGTTTCCTTTGGCTAGCCTTCTTGTTAAGGCCACGATCAAATCATAGTTGCTGGTAGATTTTATTACTAACATAAACAAATAGCAGGTTATTTTGTTATTGTCCGGAGCTTCAAAGCTGAAGCCAGTCTCGGCATCAGTAGGTTCTACCAGTACTGACATGCAATTGGAATACAAAGGAGATGTTGATAATATAAACCATATGTTGCTTATGTAGATCATTGAGCATCAAATGCTCTCTGCAAAGCACCTCGGCATGTTGATCGACCAGCAGCCTCAGCCAAAATAACGCTAGAGCTGCAAATTCTTTGAGATGCTGCAGAGCGGCACAGCAGCATCCTGCAGGGTGCTCTTCCCAGCACTGCTCGCCCCAGAGGAGGACGTTGACAAAAGTACCAGGTATGTAGGACCACTGCTGCCATTGCTCTCTGAAACTCATGTGCAGCAAAGGTCTTCTCTGGGCATAGCAAGAAGGATTTAGTGAATATAAAAGTACATCAAAGGCAAATAAGGCTTTTTGTTTTCCTTTCCCGCACACTATTTTGTTGGTTTTGTGCTCATAAAAGCATTAGCTGATTAACTCGCTATCAGAAATGCAAAGCTGCTAACTAAAAGTTGTGTGCAAAACAAGATACATGTAATGTCTTGATAGTGGTAGGGTGAGATTTTCCTTTTTCCTGCTTCCTCACTTTTAAAACTCAGCCAATATAACTTTTTCCTGTCATCATAACATTTGGCGCTATTCCCATATGTACAGATTGCAACATCTGCAAGTTTTAAAAATTAATATAAAGTTCCATAATTGTATAAGCCTTGCTCATTTTAATGGTCCTAAACAAGCATCTTAGCTTTGATACAAACCAAGATGCAGTCAATAGATAAAGTGCTCCACTTGTACAAAGCAAGCTGCTCTAATGGGGCCGGTATGACCATGTGGGTGATACTCATGTAGATGATTATCATGCAGTTGAGGAACATGCTGAAGTCATGCTGTTGAGGAACAGAATGTGGACTTAAGTTGCTGGCACACAGAAACTTAATAGGTTACTGGTAAATGGAATCATGGGTGCTAAATTGCAAAGCAATTGTATTTATTAGAGCTTATTTCTGTTACCCACTGTCCATGAAGATCCAGCAGGAAAGTGTTCACAAGTAGAGGGTGACCTGTCGTCTTCTGCACAGCTAGAGATTTTGTCATCATTATGCAACGATCACAAGGTGATGCACAAGCAATTGAAGGGTTAGTAGGGGACAGTGAGTCATGCAGAAGGTGAAAGAGTGAGCTGTGAGTGTCCAGGCTTTGCTCATTAGCCCAAGTCAATGCACTGAGCAGGATTGTACTGATTACAGAGGAGCTTGCCCAGCACGAAGGGAAAGGAGCCTCATAATCTTCCTGTTTACAAGTTACCATTTTGTAAATGGGCTTATTTTTGCCATATGGTTTTACTGTTAAAAACTGAAAGTTAAACATTTAAGACCTCTTTTAATTGTGTCTAAAAATATGGTGGCCACGTTGTGGGTGAGAATTTGCTACAGGAGAGGGATTCCTGGAGCTGGCTGTTTGTCTGTGGCTGTGGCCAGTTAGTGTCCTGGGCAGCTGCTTGTACCACAACACATGCTCTGGAAACAGGCTGTGGTCCGAGACTCTGCTTCCCAAGAGCAGCTGCCTCAGAATTTGCAGCTCTAGCACTAGTTTTTGATACTGTAGTCCATGGTCTTACGGTGAAGAGAGGGCATAGCATCAATGTGGCTGATGTTACAGGCCAGGTACTTAAAAAGTTAAATAAGAGCATAAATTGTGGGCCATGTGACACAGAGCACAAGTGGCGGCTGCTGATGTGTTCCAGGGAGCAAGTCACTCCTCTCTTGGCTTCTTTTTTTCCTTTAATTCATGTATTTCTAGGCTTGGTGTTTGAGGTTTTGTTTTGTCCATTTGAAAAGCACATTGTATGTGGATGTGTACTTGACTTTGCATGTATCCTTGTTGAAAGCCATAAAATGAACTAGTCATTACACATTCAGAGATGTTGGAAGCGCGGCTCAGTATTTCCAGGTTTATTGAAATAATGGTCCCTTGTTTGTTTTTCTACAGGCAGGCAAAGTAGAAACATAGCTGTGAACAATAACATAAACCTTGCTGTTACCAAGCACTTGGCAAGCAGTTTTAGAAATGCTTCTGCTTTTCCTGCATGGATAGAAAGCCTTAGAGAACTCTCTGACTGCAACGTATTTCAGTGTAAGGGAACCAGAAATAAAATCAGGCCCTATATTTCATGTGTTCAGTAATGGAGGACCGAACAGGAAGAGACAGGTGCTTTTCTGAAAAGAATGAAAGATCTGAGCAGCTGATTCATGGTGAAGTAATATGCTTTTAGCTGAGAAGGTTTATTGTAGCTGAACCTCATGCCATCCCTCTAGCCGATATCTTAGATGAATCAGCAACTTGCTATTTTTATCTCAGCTGTACCAATAGAGTTTATAATATTGTTCTGTCAGTGCTATTTATACATCATCACATGCCTGACTACTCCAGGCTGTGCTTTTTTTTCCACAGTCTCGGATGATGTCATCGTGAAGTAGGCAGTTGTATTGAACAAAGGCTTTCTTCAGAACAGCAACAATTAAAACTTATGGCAGAGTACAACACCAGACGCCACTGAAATACAGAGATAAGCTCCCCAGTTTTAAGGTAGCTCTAGACAGGGCTTTCGATCCCTCAGTAGCTGGTGCCCCTGGGGACTGGCTTGAAGAGAAGTCCTACAGCTGTCAGTGACATACCTGGCCTTGAACGTGTAGGGAGCAGTGTGCTCTGAAGCCTGGGACTGCTCTGCACAGAGGACTTGCTAATGGTGTAATTATTCAAGAAAAAAAAAAAAAAGAAAGAAGAAAGGCTCCTCCAAGAAAGGACCTTTTCTACTGTGAACCCATTCTACGGCTTCTCCTCAGTCATCCACAAGCAGAGAAACGGGGTTTGTCTTTTCTTCTGCCTGAAGATATTCATCCACCATGAATGTTTTTGCTGTATTGGGAGGTTTTGAGGATGCCTGTGCAGGCTTGGCCAGCCTGGAAGCCTGTAGCTTTGCCATGTGCATCTTCCCAAAGCCAGAGTACTGAAGCCCTTTGTAGTGTGAAGCAGTGAAAGGTCTACAAATGCTTTGCAAAGGAAGAATTCAGTGTCCTCAGTTGATCGCCTTTTCATTTGTGATGTTCCAGCGAGCCTGAAATTCTTCACTCCATCCCTATTCCCCAGTGCATCACGTGCATTTCCAGCTGTTTATCATCATTCCATAAGGCCAGCAACATGTCAACATCAACAGCTGTGTTCTTCTCATCTGCTACTTGTATTTGAGCCCTCAGAGTTTTAACCACCGAAGTTGTCGATCAGCGCTGTTCAGACATGACATGTAGAACTTTTCCCTAGAAGCGGTTTCTCAGGAGCTCCGTATGTCCTCCAGCCAAGCTGTGACAAGCATGTCACTGGGTCACAGATGGAGGTAACAGAGAGTTACTCTCCATCCTCTGCCTACACCTTGCACTATGATCACAATAACGAAGTGATTTGTTTTGGAAGTACTCATCAGGTGAACACAATTACTACCCATTCCTATGGAGGTTCAGACCCAGGTGTGGAAAGCTGCTGTCAACAAGGTTAGTTTTTCTCCCACCCCCCGCCATTAACCCTCACAGACACTCCAGTATGTCCCACAACCCTCCAGGAACTTGCTTCCCCCAGGCAGGAGAGCACAGGTCTAGCCCTGGAGAAAACTGGCCCAATAGCCTTTTTTGCAGTTAGAGTGGCCACCCCGTGCTTGGGAATGGCCCTTCCCAGTGCTCTGACATTTATAAGCTCCCCTTAAATGACTTCTTTCCAAAGCCTCCTTCCAAAGTTTGGCTCTGCGCAAAACATGTCAGCATCTGATAAAGGCTCAAAACAGAAACAGAATGGTATAAATAGAAATTAAGTAAATTAGGAAGAGGTGCCAAAGCAGCAAAACTCTAATGATAGCCGTGGCTGCGTGTGCATGTGCAGTGCAGCTTCCAGCAGTCGCCGGAGTGCCAGGCTGCCCCTCGGTATTCTTAGAAACATATGCATCTGCTGTGTCACTGGCACTGCCTGCTCGGCCTTGGACGGGCTTTCGCATCTTCTTGCAGACTCTTTAGAAAGCTTGGGTTCGTGCAGAGATCTGTTGCCAGAGCCCCAACCAAGCCAGCAGCAACCTCTCAGTGGCTGGATATTTTTTCCACGCTTGGTAAACTATGCTTGTGCCATCTGGTCAATGCAAACAGCCTTACCCTCCCTCCAGCCAGATTTTGTGGAAATTGTGGACTACCTGGGTTGTCAACTCAGAAATGATAGAATATGGTTTATTTCCTTCATGAACCGAATGAAACTTGGGCCAAATTCCCAGCTGGTAAAAATCAACATGACTAAGGTGAAGTAATTTGTACCACCTGATGGTCTTCATTATGGCCAGGGCTGGAAAGACAGAGCAGATCATTTGATACTTATTTGTTATTGAGACTTTTTTTCCATAGGGCCATTGATCACAAGTGAACAGGAGATAAACGGGTGAGAGCCATTCCCTGTAAGAAGCATAGCAATGGTGGGCTCCAGGTTGAGGTCCTTCCCAAAATGGCAAGCGGTTTTAAAACGGGTGCTGGGTCTGCCCAGGTAGCCCCAAGCCCTGAATTTATGCTGATCCAGATTGCCTTGTGCTAAATCTTTCTTGCTTTTTGCTGTGTCCTGATGCCACTCCTTGCCAGCTCGGCTTGCAGGTATGTAGTAGGGGGGTCTTTAGGGTAAGGGAGAGATGATGCTTGCTCTTCTGTGAAGAGCTGTTGGTCTCCTGAAGCTCAGAGGAACTGCCAAATACAATCAGTCAAACTGGAGATCTTTGACGCTGCAAAACAAATGGTCAAACTGTTAAGCAGTGTTTTAGGGAAAGGTAACATCTCCTGCATCTCCTGTTAGACCGACCAATGCACTCAGGAAAACGTGGACAAGGTTTTGGGCACATGGTTCTGTGTAATTAAAAGGAGCGCACTGAATGAATGGGCCTGGAGTAAGGGAGGCAAAAATAGAAACAGCCATCTGTCAATACGCTACCGGATGGCTAATTGGGAAGCCTCAGGTCTCAACTGCTAAATGTCCTGCCTCATTTCCTTACAAAACAGAGACAGCAATAGCAATCTCTCCTCAGGGACCGGGCACAGCTCAGTGCAACGGGGTGTCTGGGTGAGCTCCCCTAACATGCTTCTGCCCCAGGTAGGGTGCTGCTGTCTGTGCCAGGAGGCATTTCTGTCTTGAGGACCACCACCTTCCTGTGATCAAGCAACAGGAAAAGTCCCCGTGGCAGCAAGGGTAAGGAAAGGACTTGGGGCAGGTTCACCTCTGTTGTCTCTGCCTGTGTGGGCAGGAGAATTTCCTTCACAGAATAGCCCAGCTGCAAAGCCTGAAACAGAGAGGAGGCAGCCCAGCTGGGGCAGCTAGATTTATCAAAACAAGATCCTTACACTACTTTGAGATGTTAACTCTACAAATAGTTGAACATTATAAATATATATATGTAACACGTATTTAATGATTGATTTCATAGTCACCACACATGTTGGAAACATCTAACAGGAGTTAGACCAAATTAAAGGCAGGAAATTCCAAGGTATTGTTCTTATGGAAACTGTGACAGCTGAATTATATGGGCTTGTTAAGGAGCTAAAGATAACCCCATTCAGAGTAGATAAAAACATTATGTATGAGCAAGGAAACTGAATTACAATTGCAGTGGGAGCCATAAGTCTGAATATCTTTACTGTTGTGTGCAGTAAATGGAAACTCCACCATGCTGTTATATTAATTTGGCATTTTTTATTTAGGGACGAATCTTGAAATTCTTTGCCTTAAAACTCCAGTGGAGGTAATGGAGAGTTTTAAATCCAGAAGGATTCAGACATAGGGATTCGACGCCTGGTTCTTATAGGTAGGATGAACTTCCATCTTGATTGTTCATTCTGTTGTGATTTGGTGGTGGGTTTAACCGTGGAAAGCATCCTGAGTTGTCTTCAGACTCACTGCAAGGAGACTGTGCAACCTGTAAACAAATACTGGAATTTATTTCTTGCTGATCACAGCCTCTTCTTCTGGGACAAAAACCATGGCAGGATCCTGGAGAACAAAAGCAACCTGTGAGCATCCATGGCACACCTGAAGGGCCCAGTACCCCTTCCCACCACTGCCTGTGCCTGATCACAGACAGGGGCACTCACAGGCTGTGAACAGCTTCCAGACAGCTCTTGGGGTGACCATGGCGATGAAGGCCTCCAACATATCTGGCTGCAACCTGCCATGCTGCACCCTTGCAGCTGCCAGGCTGTTGGTTTGGAGGAGGATCTCAGTAGAGTATTTTGGGCTGAGGAGAGCATCTTCAGTTGGGTTCACCGTTACCTTTGTTTGGGGACCATTGAAAGAGGCAATGGGGTTTGGTACCTGCCACTGCTGCTTGAGTGCCCATCCCGAGGGAGCATCTCAGTAGCCACTAACCCCTGCTCCAGGTAGCCAAAGACAAGGGACGCCTCTGCCAGCAGATTTGGGAGGGGATGCTTTCCTTTTAGCATTGTCAGAACTTTACAGTACAAAAATCTGATTTAAAAAAAAAAAAAAAAAGTATTTCAGCTGGTCAGTTTTCCTCCAGTATTTGAAACCTGGCATCGGTGCACTGGCTGCACTTCTGAGACCCCAGGGAGCCACCGGTCAGTCTGGCTTTCTCTCGGGGCTGGGGATGGGCTCAGGCTCTGCCCCAACTCTGGCAGAAAATGACAGCTGAGTTTTTCAGGGTGGCTATGGGAGAAGTTTTTCTGTAATTTTCTTGCAACACCCCTACCTTGCCACTAGTTTTCCTCCTCCGAGACAGTAATCAGTCCAAGTTTTGTTGCCATAACGTTACGCACGTGGAATTTGAGACATTCTGCTTCTGCTTTGCTTTGTTTTAATCGGGCTTGCTTGAAATGTCATATTTAAATGAGAAAAACATCAAGGCTGTGGAAATCTCAGCCATAGACTGTGAGGCAATAACTGTGTACAGAGCTTGGCACAAGGCACTGGGACTACCTGAGATGTCTAATTGCCACCTATAAATATCAACTATCAGTATGTGTGGAGAAGGTGAGTGCAAAGGACAGAAAATAGTTTTACTCTGTGCTGTACTATGATTCATGCTTTTAAGATCAAGATTAAAAGTCTCTGTTAGGTTCCAAACTATGATTTTATTTTCATTTACATCAAAGGATTTAAGAGCCTTCAAGACTCGGTCTTTTTAAAAATAACTTAAAACATACTGTCTGGCAATGCGAGTCCCAGTTAGCACAGAAGCAGCCAGGCTCTCCTCGTATAAAGCAAATAACTGAAAAAAATCAGAATTAAAGAAATAGCTTGTCCTCAATTTAACTCTGACAGCTTGTATTGTATTTTTGTATCAGGAAAAAGACTTTATGAAACGTGGGCCCTTGTAGCCAGGACGTAGCCCTGAGTGATATGCCCTACAGATCAGCCAAAACCATGCACCACAACAGCTTGTGCAAAGGCTCAGAGCCTTGATTTGAATTTTTGGGCTTGTTTGTATTTCAAAAGCAAAGCCACTGAATTGCATCTTGAAAACCGTATTCCAGTGCAGGTTTCCTCAAAACACAGCCCAGGTTTGATCAAAAGGTTCCCAAATCTGCAAACCTTTTGACAAACTCAACAAATGTTTACACTTTCAAAGTAAACCCCAAACCAAGCACATTTGCAT